GGAACATGGTTTGTTTCAAAATGATGAAATATTTCTAACCTTTTGTTCTCTATTGTGATTTTTGCTGATGCCCAAGATTTAATCTTTTCCTTATCAATATATATTTTTAATAATGATACCTCCTAAGTCGTAAGTGTCACTTTCAAGGCTGGCGCTAGACTTTTTGCCACCACTATAAAATATAAATAATATAAGTACTGTCTGCTAAATTCATGAAATAAATAAATTAAATACTTACCTAAATTATCTGAATAGCTGATTTGTTGACATCACTTGTTTAACTAGCACTAGCACACAGTATGATGTATATTGTCTGAGAGATAGTTACAAAATGCTTTTGTCATTGCCAATGCCAAAAAACGCCATTGTTCATTAAGTCCAAACAATGGTAATCGAATTCTAACAACTGATCAACAAGGCAAACTTTGATAAGCAGTCCTCAATAATCAGTTCTCAACAACTATTTGTTATTATTAAAGTTTAACATTATAAAATTAACAAAAATAATATAAAACTCATATCCTGGCAAAATAGCCACATGGCAGCTGAAAACCATATGTTCCCTTCCCATTCTCCCTCCGTTCCCTAGCTTGTCATGCATTCTTTCCAAAAATTGGGACTTTTTAAAAACGCCATGGGACATGGGACAAATTGTTAAAAATTGGGACTGTCGGCTCAGGGCCTGTGGCTCAAGTGGCTAAGGTGCCAGCCACATACACCTAAGGTAGCGGGTTCGGATCCAGCCCGGACCCACCAAAACAACAACAACGGCTGCAACCAAAAAATAGCTGGGCATTGTGGTGGGCACCTGTGGTCCCAGCTACTTGGGAGGCAGAGGCAGGAGACTGGCTTGAGCCCAGGAGTTGGAGGTTGCTGTGAGCTGTGATGCCATAGCATTCTACCCAGGGTGACAGCTTGAGGCTCCGTCTTGTTCCAATTTTAGTTTATGTGCTGTGGAAGTGAGCACAGAAACTCCATCTCAAAAAAAAAAATTTGGGACTGTCCCACCAAAAGCGGGACATCTGGTCACCTTATTGTGGAACTCTTGGGTACAACAAGACCTGAGCTGGGTTTTGAAGGAAGACTATTAGCTGGCCAACCAAAGAATGTGGGGAAGAATGTCTGTAAAAATGCACAGTAATGGGAGGTGTGACACATTTGGGATACTTTCAGAGTTAAATACACCAGGCTTTGGTTTTCTTCTTCTGTAGGTCTCAGAGTGCCACTGAAAACTGCTGACTAGAGAGTAGTCTGAGTAAGATACAGGGGGCAGGGGCAGGGTGGTGCGGGTCAGGGAGGTGGGAGGGATGATGGCCTCATGGGGCTGTGAGGACCAGATCAACTCCATTTTGTTATTCACATAAGTTCTGTTCCTGGGCCCCTGGCCTGCAGGGCCCACCCTGCAGCCCTCCCCATTCCATTCCTAGTTGCTCAACCATATCTGCAGGGCCCACCCTGCAACCTTTCTCATTCCTTTCCGAGTTGCTCAACCATATAGCGCCACCTTGGGCAACAGAGCAATAAGCCCCCAATTCCTTGTTAACTATGTCACCTTACTGCAATAAACAGTAAGTTTCTATTACCTTGAAATACAGGTAACCAGGTTACACCAACTCTAGCCCCCAGTTAAGGGACCCCCCACCCCTCACCTGTACCAATCCAAATTCACCTTTACTAGTGAAATCATCAGCCACCAATGCAAATCCTCCTTTACTAATGAAATCACCAACCACCAATGAAAAGTGTACTCGTATCCGACCCTACCCCTCTTGCTTTCTGTACCCCATAAAAACTGCCTTCACCCCGAGTTCGGGGCTCGTCCCAGGCTTGCATGCTGGGCGGGTCCAGACCGGTCTGAAATAAACTCATCTCGTGCTTTTTACATAGGAGTGTGTCTCACACTGTCTGTGGGGGTCTTTTGGGAGAATTTTGGGCATAACAGGGCTAGGTCAGGAAATGGAGAAGAGGGATCCTCACAGGCTATTTGCAGAAGACCTGGAGACCTCTGGAAAAAAGACTGATCATAAGTGGGGAGAGGTGGAGTCCAGCAGACAATTGGCCCAGCCACAAAGCTGAGCTCATTCTGAGGGGGGGATTTCTGGATATAGCTTTGTGTGTGTGTGTGTGTGTGTGTGTGTGTGTGTGTGTATTTACATGAACTGGCCCTTCATTAATTCTTTTTTTTTTTTTCTTTTTCTGTTTCTGATGCTTGAATCAGAACCTTCATGGATGCTTGTCTGATTTCTAGTCTAAGAGTGGTGATAGTAGGGCTTTGAGTAGAAGAAATAATTATGATTGCTAACAATTTTTTTTTTTTTTTGAGACAGAGTTTCACTTATTAACCCTCGGTAGAGTGCTATGAAGTCACAGCTCACAGCAATCTCCAACTCCTTGGGCTTAAGCGATTCTCTTGCCTCAGCCTCCCGAGTAGCTGGGACTACAGGCGCCCGCTACAACGCCTGGCTATTTTTTTGTTGCAGTTTGGCCGGGGTTGGGCTTGAACCTGCCACCTTTGGTATTGGGGCTGGCGCCCTACTCACTGAGCCACAGGCGCCACCCAGATTGCTAACAATTTTTGAACATTTATAATATGTCAGGAATTTATAATTTTTAGCTCATTTAATTCTCCATACAGCCCTATGTCAAGTTTGCTACTATGATTATTCTCATTTTACAGTTGGAAAAACCAGCCAAGCCACTCATCCTACCTTGGAAGCTCTCCTACTTTACTCATGTTGGGACTGGCACATGCCAGGTAATTAAAAAAAATTGACTAAATCAGGGAGCTATACAAAATATCAACATAGCATACACATTTAATTTTGAGATAAACGTAAATTTATAGCACAGAGATATCCCATATACCATCCCCCAATGGTAACATCTTGTAACCCTTCTTACAGAATGCCTACTACGTTCCAGGTACTGCTACAGGCACTGGAGAAACATTAGCTAACAGAACCATTAAGAGTGACTGAGATCAGGCAGCGCCTGTGGTGCAGTAAGTAGGGCCTGGCTCCATATACAGGAGGTGGTGGGTTCATAACCAGGCCCTGGCCAAAAAAATAAATAAATAAAAAGAGTGACTGAGATCTGGGGCGGTGCCTGTGGCCCAAAGGAGTAGGGCGCCAGCCCCATATACACCAGAGATGGTGGGTTCAAACCCAGCCCTGGCCGAAAACTGCAGAAAAAAAAAGTGACTGAGATCTGTAGGGGACAGTGCCTGGAGTCAGAAGAGAGGTGGAAAATCTTTTCCAAGAAGGCCCAGCATTGGAGGGGCAGGAAGAAAAGCTCCACTTAGGAAGAAGGGGAGAGGGTATTGTCATGGAAGCTAAGGTGGATAATAGCAACAGAAGGAAGAGTGGTAAAGAGCATCCAGTGCTGCAGAGGGCACCTGGGAAGAGAGGTAGGAAGAGCCCGTAGGATTTAGCAACCAGGATGTCACAGGTAAGCAGGCAGGTAGCCTAGTGGTATGGAGGGAAGCAGGTCTGTCTAGTGCTGAGGAGTGGTTTGGGTGAGGAAGCAGAAGTAGACAGTACTGTGTAGCAAGTCTTTCAACTAGGGAAGGAGAAAAAGGATAAACGCTGTGGTTCTCAATCTTCCTAATGCTGTGATGTATTTTCATTGTCAAAGGGGTCCTGACCCACAGGTTGAGAACCGCTGGAAAGTAAGGTTGAAGGAGAAATTTTCATGAATTTTGTCTGTAGGACAGCGATTTTTTAACTGGTGTGCCATGAAAATTTTTAAAGATCATTAAATTATTTTTGAAAGAAGTCCAAAGCACAGTAAGTATAATCCTTTTTTTACTCTTTTTTTTGATCAACATAATTTAAGCATACTGTGGAATTTTAACTATAGGTTCAAGTGTGAGATAAAAAAGGTTGAAAAACACTACTCTAAGATGAGGGGGAAGAGTCAGCGAGAGTGAAAATTTCAGGACCCTTTGGACAGAGCGAAACTCCAAGGAAATGAAAGGATTTAGAACTAGGAGCATAGCTGAGTCCTGACTGGAGGGGTGTGCATCTGCTAAAAGGAGATACTTGCAGGAAGAGATGAGGATAAAGCTCTGTGTCTGTTTGGAGAGGGAAGTGATTTCTTCCAGCTGGAGCACTCAGGAAATGTACAGACATTTGAGGACAAGGGCATTTGAGGGTTAACAATGGAGGGGCTCAGCTGACTGAAGTTAAGAGGCTCTGGAAGGGGAGTAGGAGGAGATGAGGCCAGTAGATGCAGACTAATGGGGACACTGGGGTCAGATGACACATGTGGTTCAAATGCCAGCTCCTGGTTGCTTATTAGCTGTAACATTGAGAAAGGTCCCTAACATGTCTCAAATTCCTCATGTGTAAAGTGGCGATATCCCTAACAGGGTTGTTGGAGAAGATAATGCCCATGGAGAGCTTAGCCTGGTGCCCAGCACCTCCAGTACACAAATACTAATGTTATTAATATTATTAACGCAAAGCCATCGGACATGTGCTGTAGGAGAGATTAACTGGGCTACGTTGTGTGAAGTGGAACGAACTAAGAAAGGCCTGCACAGGACCTTGTACACCTGAGTTCCTCAGGAAACACTCAGCTGCATTCTTTGTTGAACTTCGGCATGTTACGAGGTATGGTTTTTGCCTTTCCTGGGCTCACAGTCCCCAGAGGGTGACCGTTAGCCAGTGAAGTGCCAACATTAGGGAGAAAGAGGATGAAGCCACATTCTTCAGCTTAGCCTCTCCCCAAGTTTTTGCCGGATTTTTTTAGACGAGGAGGGACAACAAGACGCATGGTGGCCAAACGCGTACCCTCAGGACTTCCCCAGGACCTTGAGAATCGCGGTGAACTAGGAAACTAAGGCTAGGACCTAGAGGGCAAAGGTGCGCAGGCGCAGTGCAGAGAAGGGCGCTCACCTGTGTTGAGTGGGCGGAGCTAGATTCGGAGCGGGGCGGGATCGATGACGTCACGGGCACGTCGCCGTAGAGCGATTCGAGTCCCGGAAGCGGCGGCGGCTGGGAAGTAGGCGGGGGAGATTCTTGGACCTGCAACTTCCGAACGGCCCTGGTAGGAGGCGGTGTCAGGGTGGGGCGGGCCTGAGGAAACGGCTGGGGCCCAGTGGCCCTTACCAGTGTCCCGCTGCCTGTCTTTGCCCGGCCCTGCCCCTTCCTCCATCGAGCCAGAGACCAGGTAGGTAAGATGCCACCGCTCCCCGCCCCCATGTCTCCGCTGACGGTGTGGAGTTTGGTCTCTGCATTTAGCGGGTGCCGCCACCTGCCGGCCCAGCAACCTTGGGCGTGGCCTTGCTTGTCTAGGTGGCTGGGGCCGCATTAGGCTTCCTGGGCTGCAGAGGTGGGGGCCAAGGCCCCTGCAGGCGCCGACCTGCTTCACACATTCCGGGGATTCTGTCTCGCTCCCGCCCCTGGGTTCTTTCGCCCTAGCTTGACCTGCAGGGTGGCCGTTTTGTCACCTCCCTGCGGGTAGGACTGGTTTAGGTTGCTGTTTGTCAAGGTTCCGCCGCTTGGTTTGCTGCTTAGCGTTTGGGTTAGGACTTTGAAATTAGGGAGGAACGTAAAGGTTCCTGTGGTTCTCATTAGAGAGTGGGAATGGGGCATTCTGGAAGGTGATGACTGCCCCATGGAAGCTCAGGAGCCCAGGAAATGATTGGCAATCCAAGGGAGAGGAAGGGGTTGGGGCAGGAGAGACCACAGGAGTCCTGCTGGACGGTAATTCATTCACTCATTCAGCAAGCGTTTATAAAGCGCCCACTGTGTATAGAAACAGTTATGAATGGAGGCTAGCTCAGAATTAAGAGAGGGGAAACTGTCAAGAAAGTAGGGAGTTTTACTTTGATGTCACTAGTGCTCTGGTAGGGTGAGTTCATGTTCCTTTGGGAGAGCCTTACTGTCTACTGGCGGTATTGGCAAAGACTTCCAGGGCAGGGGACTACCGTTTAAGCTGATACCTGAAAGATGAATAGGAATTAACCAGGTAAAGAGAGGGAGGAAAGTATTCTAGGACATCATTTCTTTTAAGACCGTGGGCTGCCTCCCCCCAGCAACTATATGTGCTTGGTCTTTATGGTTTATACTCTTGATGAGTTTGTGAGGAAAAGATCATTGGATGAGGAGGATTTTAAAGAACAGGATTTTAAATTTTTTTTGAGAAAGTCTTGCTCTGTCACCCTGGCTAGAGTGCAGTGGTGTCATTATAGTTCAGTGCAACCTCAAACTTCTGGGCTCAAGTGATCCTCCTGCCTCAGCCTCCTGGGTAGCTGGTAATACTGGCATGCACTATCATGCCCAGCTAGTTTTTTATATCTTTTTTATTAGAGACAGGGTGTTCAAGCAGGAGGATTTCGTGGGTTTTTTTTTGTTTGTTTGTTTGTTTAAATAAGCTTTTTTCTTTTCTTTTTTTTTTTCTTTTTTTATTTTCTTGAGACAAAGTCTCACTTTGTTGGCTTGGGTAGAATGCCCTGGCATCATAGCTCACAGCAACCTCAAACTCTTGGGCTCAAGTGATCCTCTTGCCTCTGCCTCCCAAGTAGCTGGGACTAGTAGGCACCAGCCACAATGCCCGGCTATTTTTAGAGATGGGGTCTCACTCTTGCTCAGGCTGGTCTGGAACTCCTGAACTCAAGACGGCCCACCCACTTCAGCCTTCCAGAGTTTTAGGGTTACAGGTGTGAGCCACCGTGCCTGGCCCAGGAGGATTTTAGATGTGAGTAATTCACTTCATCTTGCAGGACTTCAGTTTCCTCCTCTGTGAAATGGGGATGCATGTGGCCTTGCCTTGCCTCTTGGGTCTGTTATGGGCACCACATGAAACAATGCAAGTAGAAGTGTGTTGGGGACTGGAGGTGTAATGTGAAAGTCAGAAACTGTTATGGTTACAGGATGCAGACATCAGAGCCTGAAGGGAATGGTCCGGAGGTGAGCCCCAGCGTGATGCCTGAGGCTCTCCCAGAGTCTCCATCTGTCCCTATCAAGTCCCCAGCGTTTGATCTTTTCAACTTGGTTCTTTCCTACAAGAGGCTGGAGATCTACCTGGAACCCCTGAAAGATGCAGGTGACGGTGTTCGATACTTGCTCAGGTACAGACTTAGTGGAGTTGCTCTGGCCTGCTGTGCCTTCCGCCCGCTTGTGCCTTCTGCCCTCCTCTGTGATAATGCTGGCCATTTAGACAGTGGCTGGGCTGTCTTTCTGTCCTAGTGAAGAGCAGTTCTGGGAGGTCTGTTGGTCTGAGTTTATCCAGGCCTACCTTGGATCTCAGTCCCAGGAAAAGGCAGATACTAGAAATGATTTGGCCTTTCAGCAGGGTTCCTTATGACTAAGCTTCTCCCTCAGGACTGCTAAACATGCTTGAACAGTAGGGCTTCTATAGCTTAGAGCAGGCTTAATATTTTTTCTTCTTTTCCAACAGTACTATAGTTAATATTGAAATTAGTGTATAGTTTTGAACAAAAATTGAAGAAATACAAATACTTGTGAATAAGCAGATTCTGTTTTCAATAATCTTTTGTGATTAAGAATCTCTTATTTTTTCTCCTTTTCTGCTTGATTTTTCTCCTCTGTGATTTTCTTTTTCTCCTTTCAGCTCAATTGATTTCTTATTTTAAAAGTATTTTAAATTATGGATACATGGCATCTCACTCCCTAAATACTCAGTTTCTGTCTCAAATTAAGGACATTGTCTTTCACAGTCAAAGTAACATTATACCTCACAAAATTAACCATAATTCCTTGCTATTATCCTTAATTCATGTTCAAGTTTCCTCAGTTTTCCTAAGAATGTATGTCATGAATAATCATTTTGGCCAAATCAAGTTCCAGTCTACTACTATGCATTTTGTGTGGTTATTGTGTCTTTTAAGTCTTTCTCAGTCTAAAACAGTCACTTCTTTCCTGCCACCGACTTGTTGATGAGACGGAGCTGTCTATCTGGAGAATTTTATGCCTGGTTTTGTTTGGTTGCTTCCTCGTGGTGTTATATTGAAGTTAGAAAATTTTTTTTTACTTTTTGCAAAGGTAAATGTTGCGGACCTAATACTGCATTACATTAGGAGTCTCATAAAAACTTCGTTGTCCTAAAGACCAGAGGTTCTTAACTTGGAGTCTGTGAGTAGGTTTTAGGTCCATGATCCCTTAAAACCGCATGTATGTTTCTAGGGAAAAGCTTCTAGTTTTGTAGGTCCAGATTCTCATGGGACCTTTAGCTCTCTAAACTTCCTGAGAGAGACTGGTGGGAAGCAGGGTGTTGTGTGGGGTAGGTAACTTTTATTGAGTATTCATCTTTGCCTCAGTCTGGAAATAGTGGACGGTTTTTTTTTTTTAATTAGTTTTTTTTTTTTTTTGCAGTTTTAGGCTGGTGCTGGGCTTGAACCCACCACCCCTGGCATATGGAGCTGGTGCCCTACTTCTTGAGCCACAGACGCTGCCCAGTGGACGGTTTATTATGAACTCTCTGACCAAGACCCTAAATTTTTTTTGTTCATTCCTTTAATTTATGGCAGTATCACTGGAGATGAGCTAGTTGGTGTTTCAGAGCTATGTTCTCTGCTATAAGATCACTGTGCTTTTGGTGAAAGGGGTAGGAAGATGATAGGATAGGTTCTTTTCTCATTTTACAATCCCAGCATGTGTGGCTAAAATAGCAGAAATGAACTTTGGAACTTTGGTCTTCTTTGGAGGGGGGCGGTGTTGCTTAGGGCCAGGGCTTTCCTTAGTGGAGGGACTTTTTCTATATTTGTGTGTTACCCGTTTGTGGCAAAGCACAAAAGTTAAATATATCCCGCCCTTCCCCTTTTCCTACACTAGTCTGCAGTGCTTCCTGGGACACTAAAGTGTTAGGGTTTTTCCATTTTATGAAATGAGATATTGGAGGATGTTCAGGGCAGTGCGTGTGGCTCAAAGGAGTAAGGAGCTGACCCCATCTGCGAGAGGTGGTAGGTTCAAGCCTAGCCTCCGCCAAAAACTGCAAGGAAAAAAAAAAATTGGAGGATGTGGTAGGATTGGTTAAAGCTGGAAGAGGGAGGGGCATTGACCAGAAAGCTCCCAGGAGCCTCTAGTTTCTCTGCTACTGGGAGAAGGACCACTGGTCTGTGAAAGTGGCTGTCAGATTAGTTTGTGAGTTTGATTGTTCTTTTCTTAGTAAAGAGGATTTGACTTTGAAGAGGGACCAAGTGTCGGTCCCTGGCTACTAGATCTGAAGCTTAAAAGCTGCAGTAAATTGTTAAAGAAATCTCTTCTGGAATCAACTACTGTGGTAGGTGGGTCTCCCAAGACCAAAATGTCAGCAAAGACATTTGATAGAAAGGGAGAGGCTTTAAAATCAAAGTGACTTCAGTGGTGGTATGAGGTTTTTATTTCTGAAAGGAGATTGGCTTCAGACCTGGCTTTTATTTTACTTTTACCCTGGTAGCTGCCACTAGGGGTTCTGAGGCCTAATGAGGGTAGTATAGGTGGACTGTGTTGAATTTGGGGGGAAAAGCCAAGAGAAGTCATTTCATTCCCTTACACATAATTTTTATTAAACAGTAAAAGCCCTACATAAATTAACTAACCTCATTTAGTAATTCTGAAGTATTCTAGTTGGGGCACAAAAAAATACATTTAAATTTTAACTCCTGTGCTTCCCAGCAACTTTTTCTGTTTATTTTTCTGATATTTGTCCCTCTTTCCTCTGGTAGCTCACTTTATATATACACTGACACTGCCCCTAGAATTTGGGTGTCAGTGGCTTCATTTATTATGTCTGTGCTCCTCTGTTTCTACTAAGTGTCCCTTATCAGGGACTAAGCCAGCAGCATTTGCTCGTCCTCAGCAACCTGAATCGCTGGTCGTCTTTCCTCCCTCTCTGGGGGCTTCTGTGCTGTGCTGCCATGTGCTGGGGGTGGTGGGGCTGCTTTGGCTTTGCTTCTGTCTGTTTCACTGTTTTGCTGAGACAATGCTGTATCTTGGTTTTAGCTTCCTTTTTTAATATAGTAAAATACAATTTTTATTTTTTTCTCCTTTTGAGCTTTCAAATTAATGTATGTTCAAAATAAACTCTCCAAATTACAGATATAAGAAAATAAAGGCTCAGCGTCTGTGGCTCAAGTGGCTAAGGCACCAGCCACATACACCTAAGGTGGTGGGTTCGAATCCAGCCAAACAACAATGACGGCTGCAATCAAAAAATAGCTGGGCGTTGTGGCGGGCGACTGTAGTCCCAGCTACTTGGGAGGCTGAGGCAGAAGACTCACTTGATCCCAGGAGTTGGAGGTTGCTATGAGCTGTGATGCCATGGCACTCACTACCCAGGGGCGATAGGTTGAGCTCTGTCTCAAAAAAAAAAAAAAGAAAAGAAAGTTGGCTCGGCGCCTGTGGCTCAAGAGGCTAAGGCGCCAGCCACATACACCTAAGGTGGCGGGTTCAAATCCCCAGCCTGGGCCCGCCAAACAACGATGGCTGCAACCAAAAAATAGCTGGGCGTTGTGGTGGGTGCCTGTGGTCCCAGCTACTTGGGAGGCTGAGGCAGTAGACTCGCTTGAGCCCAGGAGTTGGAGGATTCTGTGAGCTGTGATGCCATGGCACTCTACCCAGGAAGACTGCTTGAGGCTCTGTCTTAAAAAACAAAAAATTAAAAAGAAAGTCACAGATGGGATTAAAAAAGTCCACAATTTGCAACCTCTAATTCCTGGGCTCAAGCGAGTCTTCTGCCTCCTCCTCCCAAGTAGCTGGGACCACAGGCACCTGCCACAACATCTGGCTATTTTTTTTTTGAGACAGAGTCTCAAGCTGTCCCCCTGGGTAGAGTGCTATGGCATCACTCACAGCAATCTCCAACTCCTGGGCTCAAGCGAGTCTCCTG